GGCAATTTTATCTCGATATTTCTAGACATTTCTAGACTAATGACAACTTGTAAGTACCCTTCACCATGCAAAGTTATGACTTGACCTTTAACAAAATCACTTAAATCTGCCTTTTTACCCATATTTACCTTATTTAATTTATTTACTATTTACTTTAAAAAAAGAACTTTAAGAAGCCTTCATGACGTCTTTTAAACAAAGATATGCGAAAAATTTTAATTTGATTCATTTAATGACATTGACATAAAATACTTTCCATATTTAATAGGCACATTCAAAGTTATACTGAATTTATTCAAAAACCGTAAGGTGCCTTAATTCAATGGCCACTACTGTATATATATAGGGATATAGGGAAAGTGGGGGCATAACCGCATATGGAGGCACAACCGTTTTTTAACATTTCTCTTTGAAAAATGTTATCTAACTTAGCAAAAAACATAAAAAACAGTTTCCTTCATTTCGCTTATGTCAAAAAGAGTGCCTTTTATGTTTCTAAGAAGTTGTGCATATTATTGTTTATTTTGATAAAATATTATATATACATTATACTTTTAAAGAACATTTTTTTGAGGATAAAGCAATATTTGATTTTAGTGTTAAAGATATGTGTTATCAGCATTATTTTATCAAGTGAAAACTGTTTTTGATATCAGCATAATCTTATAAGCAAGCTATAAAACTGTATTCTTTCTAAAACTGTCCTCTGGGGCAGAACCGCGTAGACGCACAGGAGGCACCTACACATACTTTTAATATTTATCAAAGTTAAATTGTCACACTTGAATGCGTTTATGTAAAAACTTGAAAAGTTTTGCTTTGAAATGATAGAATTGTTGTTAAAGATGTTAGAAAAGTTTTGTTTTGAGAAAAAGATGTAAAAAAAGTTTTATTTTTTTTGTTAGAAAAGTTTTGTTAGAAAAGTTTGTTTTTTGTTAAAAAAGTTTTGTTAGAAAAGTTTGCTTTTTGTTAAAAAAGTTTTGTTTTTTGTTAGAAAAGTTTTGTTTTTTATTATTATTTATTCTTTTTAACACCCAAATTACAGGTAAAAAAACAAGTTGTATAAAACTAATAGTTTATACTTTCAGTGTAAAAAATTTAAATTTTTCTTGGGATGTTTTCCTCCATCAACTTAGTAAATACCAGTCTTTGTTCTCTAATATTCCAGAAATCAAAAGAATGGTTCAAAATTGCCGCTATATTTTCTCCTACGTCATCGTAGCAACGTTTTACCTTTATTTTTTCCTTCTCTATCAAACACTGCACGAAGTTTAGCTCAAGTTGATTGCAAATTTTTATTACTTTGTTGATAAAAAGGTTATCTTTAGTAACATCAGATATCTGAGCCAAAATCAGGGAAAAACAAGTTGGATTGTTCAGTAGTCTGATAAACAGATTTAATTTGTTTCGAATGAGGATGGTAGATATGTCATCAGTTTTAAAAAAGGAATCTAGGTAGTTTTTGCTGTGCTTCGATATAGTAAATAGTAATTTAAATGCTGACCTTCCAACAGCGTCTAGTTTATTAAGAAGTGAATTATTATAACAACAAATTTCTAATCATATGATAAATTCGGTACAGCCAGTGATTTGAACAAGTGTACTATAGTTAATGGTTGACAAAAACGAATACCCGATTTTATAAGAGCTCTGGATATTGATTGAAACTGAATAAAAGTTCGTTTACATTTAATGTTTGAAGTGTTACTATATTTTTTGTATTGTTTTGATTATCCCATAGGAATCCGAGGTGTTTCAGTTTTTTCTTATGGTGTATGGAAAAGCCGTTTATTTGAATTGAATTTTTTGTAATTGAGCTTTTACCGGATATAATAAACTTGGTTTTTTCAGTGTTTAGTTTGATATATAGGTTTTGGCATTGTGACTGAACTTTATTAACCAATTCTTGTAAAACAGAAAGAGTAGGACTTAGTAGGATTGTATCGTCTGCATAAGCTATAATACCGGTGTACACCCCACTTATCGTTGTTTCAACTTTGCAACATGAAACAATTTGATTTAATATACTTTGAGTGTATAAATTATATAAATGTGGTGATAAAATGGATCCTTGTCGCACGCCTTAAGACAATCGGAAATGATTTGATTTATGCCCAAGGTATGATATACTAGCGGTACCCGATAGGTATAGTGATTGTAGTGCGCTAACTACTGATAGCGGTATTTTTTTGTTGTAATAAAGTTTTTCAAACAACAATTCCCAGTTACAGCTATCGAAAGCCTTATTTGTATCTAAACTACAAATATATATTGATGAATTATTGTTATTGTAATGTTTTATTGTTTCATTTAAAAGAAACTCTGCATGAAGAGTAGAGCTATTATGTTTGAAGCCAAATTGGTGAGAGTGGCTATCTGATATTTCCGGACATTTTTCCATAATAATATATTCAAAGACCTTTATCAAAATTGGCACGATACTAATTCCGCGATAGTTATCGGGATTATCAAGAGATTTTTTATAGGATTTCACTATTTGAACAATTATAGATGTTGATAGGTACTCCGGCACCGCTCCATTATTGGAGAAATTGTTATAAAACTTTGAAAGCCATGTAAGTAGGTTGTTGTTATAGGAGTATTTAAGAGGTTCTGCAGTAATTCCGCAGGAATCACGTGATCTATTAGATCTAAGCTTAAGAATACAAGTTTCGATGTCGGAAGTTGATACAAGAATTTTATTAGGCTCATCAATGAGTTGTGAAATACGACGGTGTTTGTTGGTGTTGTTGGTAATTGTGGGAGTGTTGAAAATGGTACTAAAGTTTTGTCTAAATTCTTCTACAATTTCTTTTTTATATTGTTTTTATTAATAGTAAAAATACGAGTGTTAGGATTTGATTTAAATTTTAGGATATTGTTCCAAAACTTTTGTGGATTACTTTTTCAAAGAGATTAAATATTTTCGGTGATTTTATTAATTTTTAAGTTGTGAGCCGCTTTTACAATTATGTGGAGATTTTTTCAAACTAGCTTGTACTTGTTAAACGAACGGCATTCCTGCGATCTACTAAAGATATCTTTTTTCCATTCTTTAAAGTGCAAAGAGAGAATATCTTTGCACGATTTAACTTCTGGTGTCCACCATGATTTAGAGTAAGCTCCTGATTCTTTTTGTGGAAAACAGTCTTCCATTGCTAAAATAGCAGCGTTGTTTATTTTTTTACATGTTCTTTGAGATTGTTTCTCTATTTCTTCTCCAATAAAAGATTAATCTTTGAAAAATCGGAGAGATTCTGATTATAAATTTTAATAAAGTTATTATCATTCCATGCATACTTTGGAATTGTATTATATTTTTTAAGAATACTATTTACAACTGGTGTTAGACTTTTATTTTAAAGATTATTATTTGTAGTGATGGGTAAGTGATCGCTCATGTTTAGATGCGAAGGAGGAATAACATGGCATCCAGTAAAGCATAATGATGATTCATTTAGTATTGCAATGTGATCGATATAAGATGAATTATTCAGCGTTTTATGTTTATAGGTATAGGTTGGACCAGTACCATTAATTATGTCCAAAAAAAAAGAGCTGATTTAATTCAAGAAAATTGGATAAATACTTAGAAAAGTTATTTCGTGTTTTATTGTTTCGGATTTCCGTATCATTTTGTTAAAAAAGTTTTTTTTTTGTTAGAAAAGTTTTGTTAGAAAAGCTTTGTTAGAAAAGTTTGTTTTTTGTCAAAAAAGTTTTGTTTTTTGTTAAAAAAGATGTTAGAAAAGTTTTGTTTTAAAATGTTAGAAATTAGATCTCGTATTTTTTTTATTTAATTTTTGTAAATGACTTTTTAAATAAAAATAAGGCCTAGAGTATATTGAATGAAAAAACTAAGAATGTAAGTACAAAGAATGCCTAAACAGTATGCAAACGTGCAACAAAATTAGCAAGTAAACTGAGCTATGACAATTGTAACAAAAATATACCTAGAAAAGTGAACCCCCTATGATTTTTGTGAGTGTGCGGTTTTCCCTCACAACATTTTCAAAACCCGTTCAATTTTTTATATATATAATTTTTTTATATATATATAAAAAATTGAACGGGTAATAATATATATATATATATATATATATATATATATATATATATATATATATATATATATATATATATATATATATATATATATATATATATATATATATATATATATATATATATATATATATATATATATATATATATCCCTACCAGCACATCTAGTTTCTTTTTAGGAAATAAAACTTATATAGAGACGTGTTTTTCACGATCAATGCGTAAACCAAAAGCACGCCTATATTACGGGCAGTTTTACTTGAGTTTAACCTGTGTTTTTTGAGGTTTTGAAGTCAAATTTAAATGTCGCATGTTTTTACCAGTGGTTTCACATTCGTTACGGAAAGTTATTACAATATATTACTACGTTTCCTTAACGATGAAACCATTAATACTTTAACTGGTATTTATGGTAAATAGTAATAGTTAATTTCACGGAATAAAAACCATTTATAATACGTGTTATTCTTTTTGTTTTAGAAGGTTTTAAAAACGCAACAGAAACCAAGCGTAACTATTTTCTGAGTTGTGCCGGCTCGGATATATATATATATATATATATTTATATATATATATATATATATATATATATATATATATATATATATATATATATATATATATATATATATATATATATATATATATATATATATATATATGTAAATATATATATATATATATATTATATATATATATATATATATATATATATATATATATATATATATATATATATATATATATATATATATATATTTACATACATATAAACATATATGCATGCAAGAAAATTTTTATTTTTGGCAGTTTTTATTTATAAAATAGAATTACTATTTAATGCCTTTATATGGGTTACCAAAAAAAAAAACATATTTAAGTTTTATAAAGGTTGAATAGCTTGAATTTTTAAAAAGAATCTTAACAAACGCAAATAAGAAACGCAGTTCTCTTCAAATCCTGTTACAACAAATCAATAAAAGATTGGAAATTTGATTAAAGGTTTTGATTTTTATCTGTTGTAAAACTAACTATTTTAAGTTGAATAACGAAGAAAGTAATTTATAATTGTTTACAATGTATATGTGCTAAGGAGCATAAAACCTTTACTGAAACTGCTTTGTGGTAAATTAATTGTATTACGTTGTTAACAGGTATTTTATAATTTGTCATATCCGTATGCCATTTTTACTTTCACATTTTTTATACAGAAATGACGATGATTCCGAAATCAAGTAATTTCATTAGTAACTTAAGCTACGAAAATGTGTCGGTTATTTTACAAACAAAATATCAAAGTGACGCTAATTGCCGTAAAAATGTAAACGAAGTAGCTAACGCTTTGAATGGTTTTGTAATGAACACTATTGACATTGTTATTGGTATTTTAATTGTTATATTGAATGTTGTGTTGGTGAATGGAATTCGCAAATCACGACGCAAAGCAAAAAGTTACACGCACAACGAAAAACTTGTATTGTTGTTATCTTCAATTGATTTATTGGTTGCTTTAGTTTATATGCCACTTGAAATGGTTTTAGTAAAAATGGTAGATAAGATTTCTTGTATAGTTATTTCTATAACAGGATTTTGGCTTGTATTCACTTTAGGTTTCTCAGGATCAGTTGTTGCCCTAATATCTATAGAAAGGTTTAATGCTGTTTTAAATGATAAAAAATGCTGTGGCGTTAAATTCAATGGCGTTTATGCAACAACAGTGCTATGTATTCATTTTCTTATATCATCTGGATTAGGCGTTTGGCATGCACTTTTAAATTATATACAACTTTCACGTCCTCACCATTATTACTACTTTTTTATTGTGGCCACCTACACAATCAGCAATATATTATCTGTATTAGTCATGAATAGTTTATTATTGATTAAATCAAAAAAAATGCTACAAACTAAAGAAATTCGTGTTGCGCAACACAATGTGTTGGAGAGGCGGCTTACTCAAACTATGATGGTGATATCAATTACCTATATAATTTTATATATTCCTGTGGTTGTTGGTGGCTATAACTTTTTTGTTATACTCTATTTGAATGAACTCAATTCCGTGGACGATGCAAGTAAACTGTTATTTTGGGCTGTTTTTTTTTGTAAAATTAACTCAATACTTAATGCCTTAATATACATAACCAGAAATAGAAATGTACAAAAGTTTTATAAAAGTTGTATAGCTTCAATTCTTGAAAAAGGTTTTTGCAGACAGTTATTGGATACGCAGTTCTCCTCAAAACAGGTTTCTATTTATGCGATGACAGTTTCTGAAAGTAACAAAAATGTTTTCATTTAAAATAAACGCAATAAAAACAACATTTAAGATACTGCAAATATAAAAGGCTATTAAATAAAGGCTTTTGAATTCTTTTAATTTATTTTTAAAAAAAAGTCCTTAGTTTAAATCAAGTAGTTTTATATAAGAAAATATTAAGATAAACGGTATTGCAGTCCACTACACGAGGCCTACATAAATACGCGGCCTACTATTAAGAGTCTTCCATAAAGTACATTTGACAACATTTGAAAATCTTGGCCCACTACTCTCTCTTAAAAGTTCATTTGAAATACCTCTTCCTCATCATCTCTCCCCACTTTAAAAATTGAAAACAGTTTTAGTTTATAAAAGTTGTATAAAGTAAGAAATGTTTTATTAATAAGAGCGTAAATACTTTTAAACTTGATCATATGCCCTCCCCATTACTTTATTTAACGCTTTATACGATTCCAAAGTCGGTTTTAGCACTGATTTCCAATTTCAAAATCATATTACTATTGAAGTAAGTATAAAAAATAGTTTAGCAATTTATATAAATTTATTATATTTTTATTTTATTTATTATATTATATTTTTATAAATATTTTTATTAAAAATAAAGTAGAAATAAAGAAAAATTCACTTCTTTTAATTTTTTAAATCGTTTACATTTTGTTTGTTATATGTTTATTTTTGCATTGCTTTTTTGATAATCATGTGAAAATTGTAATATGTGCTTTATGCTGTTTTATCAATGTGCTTTTATAATAATGTAACATGTTTTTTTATTGTTTGTGTAAGTGTTAATATAAGTTATATAATTATTTTATAAATGTGTTTAAATATGTATATATAAGTTTAAATATATATACATATGTAAATATATATATATATATATATATATATATATATATATATATATATATATATATATATATATATATATATATATATATATATATATATATATATATATATATATATATATATATAATTATATAATGTATATTGTGTTTATGGTTGGTTTATATGTTTATATTATGTTGCTTACATGTTTTCAAATTGTTGTGAATTAGTAAACGTGTAAAGCAAGTTTTGACAACCTTGCCAGCCAAGTCAAGTACTTATTGCAGCGGGTTACACAGCAGTGTTTTGTGTCAAACTGTTAATGCTTTAAGTCTAGGTGTTGTCAAGCCTTTATTAATAATTACTCTGAAAATACATGATAATGTATTTTAATAATATTTTGCATAATGTTGTTACTTATGTTCTGTTACATATGAATGTTATGTTTCTTCATTTTATATGAATATAAAATGAATAATAAGTAACAACATAATGTTGTTACTTATGTTCTGTTACATATGAAAGTTATGTTATAATCATTTTATATGAACTTATGCGAAATGCTATTGTTGTTGTGACGTTTTTTTTGTAATCTTTTGAGTTGATATACATTTGGCTTACCTTCAAGTTGTTGTCTATCGTTAAAAATGATACATAGGTAATTTTATTATGAGACCTCACTGCTTTTAACTATACACTAAAAGTCTACTACTCTGTATTATATATATTCACTAAAAGCCTACTATTACTACTCTGGCAAGACATCAGCATTTCTCTATCAGGTACAATAATTTCCGTTTTTTGTATATAATGTTTTTCTTATTTAATTATTTGTTACATTTTTTATTTTAGATTTATCAAATGATGTATTTATGTGGTATAGAAGAACAAAAATATTTTTAGGTTTTGTGAATTTTTTAAAAATGTTTACTAATAATTTTTTCAAAGAAATAATGTTGAAGTTTGCTAAAAAGGGTTTTACAACGTTTTTTTTTTTTTTTAACAACTTTTCTATATTAGCAGTTTTTATCTTATTCTTTTTGATGCAAATATCTACTTTTTATTATATTATTTTTTATTTCTTTAAATCTAAATTGGGGCAGCTACAGTCTATATCGCTCCCATCACCCGGGATCTCTTTCCAAGGGGTCCTTTCACAAATTGTGCAGTAATAATGGTATGGATGAGCCCTCTTTCAAATGGAGAGCTCATCTGTACAAGGGTGCTGGGAGGCACCAAGTAAACAATAGCAACAAAAAATTTTTTAATGTCTTCAATCAGTGAAGATATTAACAATTTTTTTGTTGCTGTTTTTTTTATGGTGTTTTATTTGTTATAATATATATATATATATTCTGAATTATGTTTGTTTTTATTTTTTTTAGTATTTGTTTAGATTATTATTAAAAAATTTTTTATTTTTAATAAAAGATTATTATTAAAAAACAGCAACAAAGATTATAAAAAACTGTACATCTTTCCGTGAAAAACGTCATTACATAGTTTTAGAAATTTTCGTTTAGCAACGCGCCAGCGTGGCCGAGTGGATTAGTGCGCTTAGCTTCTGAACAAGTAAGCCCTGCTTTGAGTCCTACCATTGAAAACTTTTATTTTAATTTTTTTTCGACTATTTCAAAATACAAAATACTTTTGAAGTTTTATAGAGTGTTTATAAAAATATATGTAACGATATTATATACTTAAACGAACGAAAAGATTTTAAAAAAGATAATACTTTTAAAAACATCAAAACACCGCGTGAAAAAATTGTTGCGTATATGTGATTCCTACGTTAATAACGTGCTCAGGTAATTAGTCCTAATAAGCTGCGAATGGTCTGAAAAAAAAGTTTTCTAAAACTTAATAAATAAAAAAAAACTTTTTAAAACAATTGTGCTACTCCAGAAAGTGCTGCAAAAATTTAAAAAAAAAAAAAAAAGCTAGTAGTTTATAAAAAATTGGAAACCTTCTTTTGACAATAAATTTTTTTTTTCCTGCATTTATTTTTTTACAATAAATATGTGCAGCAGCTGTTTTTCAAAACGCCTTAATATGTTTAATCCGTATTTCCAGAAAAACACACTAAAAAAAAAAATTATTAAATAGAGATGGTTAAGCGCAAACAATGTATTTATAAATTCTCTGTAAAACGTTTTTTAAAACAAATAACTTTAATGAATTTTTTTAGAACTTTTTGAAAATATGTATTCAATAACGTTTGTAGACAAAAGCAAAAAAACAAAGCTTATTTTTTAAAAAGTCAAAAATGATATTTTTTACCTTGAGGGGTTTTGAAAAACGGCTGCAGTATGGATGACACAACGAATATGTTGGAATGAGATAATTTGACACGAAGCTTAAAAGTTTTTTAAAAAAAGGCCACTAAACCAAAAGAATTAAAAGTAATTGCAGTGCTTAAAAGTTTTCTTATAGTGAACAATTTTATTATAGTGAATAAAGTAATTGTAGTTTAAAATTTTATTAAAGCACTTAAAAAATTTTTTATAGTCCGTTAGTTTTTGCAAAGAAACCTTATATAAATCATTTTTTTAATTTTGATATTAACTCATTTTTTTTTTAAACTTAGTTGCGCTCAACTATCTCTATGTAAACAAAGTACATATAAACAAATATGTTATTTGTTTTTAAAGATATTGTTTATAAAATGTCAAAAATCCTATTATATAACGTTTTATTCAGAATCGTATGTAATATAAGTAAGCTTATCTTTTTGCTCAAGCTGTTGTGTTTTGCTTTCTTTTTTAATAATGTTATTATATTTAAATAAATTGACAAAATTGAAAAAACACGAAACAGCTGTCACTTCCGAGTGGAAATTTTGAAACTTCAATTTTAGATTTGCTCCTCTCTTAATAACTTCTGATTGCTAAAATTATGTCATTCTGCTTCTTAGGCCTTTAAAAATGATAGTCATAGAAATATGATTTTGTTCAATTTTTAAAAAAAACTCTATTTAAGTCATATGGAATATATTTTTGTGGGATATATTCTAATAAAGTCGAAAAATAATTATTTATTTCTATCCGGGAAAATAGTGTATCCCAGTAAGCACATAAACGTTTTTAAAAGGTATTTTTTTTAAAAAAAAAAATGTTTTTTAAACGTTCTGAATAACAATACCTAAAAATTGTTTTTGAAAAAGCGTTTAAGAAACGTTTTAAAAAAGTCGTTAAAAAGACGTTCTAAAAAAAACGTTTAAAAACTACCCTTAAATAACCCAAATTAAACCATAAAAAAACGCCTTTTAAACGATTAAAAGACGCTCTTTTTCAGAAAATATTTCCAAATCCATAGGTAGTATTATTAAATTGTTTAAAAGAACATGTTGGTTAAAAAAATAAGAAAAATAAATAATTTATTTAAAAGTTACTTTTAAATTTATTTTCTAAAACAATTTGAACAAACGAAGTAATATTGTAACGATAATATCTGTTGGATTTAAGGCACTTTAACACGAGCAAAGAGGCACTTTAACAAGAGCAATTTTAAATTAAAAATGTTTCAAAAATATATATATAATTTCATAATAAACACAAATAAAAAGTATATTATATATATATATATATATATATATATATATATATATATATATATATATATATATATATATATATATATATATATATATATATATATATATATATATATATATATATATATATATATATATATATATATATATATATATATATATGTATATATATATATATATATATATATATATATATATATATATATATATATATATATATATATATATATATATATATATATATATATATATATATATATATATATATATATATATATATATATATATATATATATATATATCTGTGTGTATATATACCGTAGCGGCATAAAGTCATGACCACAGTTGAAAAACAAGAGAATTTTATTCATTTTTGGCAAAATATAAAATAAAACAGCACCATATTGAAATAAAAATGACTCTGCATTGTCAGTAATAAGCGCCATTATTAAAAGATAAGAAATTCTGACTATAAGACTAGTATTTTGTATGCCCTCCATAAATATACCATAAGAGAGCCTTCTTTATGTTTTACTGTGTGAGCTACACACAGAGGATTGAATCATTTACCAACTCTTCTTCTCACATAAGCTCTTTTAGCTCCACAGAAAACAGGAAAGGTACTTTAATCACCCCATAACACTTTATTCCATTGTATGACTGTCCAGGTTTTGTACATCTTCGCGAATGCTCTTCTTTTCGCGATGTTATATATATATATATATATATATATATATATATATATATATATATATATATATATAATATATATATATATATATATATATATATATATATATATATATATATATATATATATATATATATATATATATATATGTATATATATATATATAGATATATATATATATACATATATATATATATATATACATATACATATATATATACATATATATCATATATCAAATATATTCTGAAAAATAACTTCATGGATATTTACAAATAGTAATTCTACTAATATCAAGTAAACACCAAAAATATATATCTTTATTTATATAATTAGTGATATTTATGAGAATAATAATTATAATATAAAAAATAATATTTATAGTAATAA